AAAAAAAAAATATCTGTACAGACATATCAGTATATCACACACACTACTGTTGCATAGATTATCAAAGTACATGGAGAATAACAGACTTTCAACTCCCATCAGAAGAAAATCTCAAATCATCCGACTCACCCGTGTGTATACTCGCCATCATGCAAAATCAATTTATTTGGAATAAATACTAATTCTACTTCAATCATGTCACACATACTGCCCAAAGAAACCCATATGTTTCTCAAAATGACAAAAAGGAATCCCTTGAAACCTTGGTTATCACAGAAAATTTTACAATGCAAGTTCGTGGGGTTTCATCATTTCCACAAACTGTAGGGTTTTATTTTTCCTCAGTGGGGTTTCTTGTATAGAGAGAGTAAAGACTAAAGAGAAGAAACACTTGAGTGCAAACACCACCTCAACTTTAAAACCCTGAATGAAGTAACATTTATGTATGTTCCTTTACAATGAACAAATGGACTAGACCCATATCCAATGAAGGCGAATTCACCTAAGAGCCCTGAACCTTGAGATCATTACTTCTAGATGCATTTGGTCTACTTCTACCCTTTTCCAGTAAATAACTTCTGCCTTTTAGAAGTTCAACCAGTCCAACTTTCCGTTACTAGGTCTGACAAAAAGACTAAATGACTTCACCTAATCTTAGTAAAAAAAATTTGCCACAAACAAAAAATGTTGGCATGTAATTCCAATAAACAAGTTGAAGAAAACCATTGAAGATAGTGGCAAGAACTAATGAGACTTCAAGCAGCAGAGAAAAAAGCAACAGAACAACATATGCCGGTTGTATCAGATTTGGTGACTTAAATCACAATATAAAACATCTACTGAAGATGTAAGTATCATCAACCACCTAAACTCAGATGATTGCACCCATCGACATTGGGTTGAAGAATGTCGGTTAAGGAGACCAATCAGAAATATAGCTCATAGAAATGTCTGCCCTGGACTTCACAAACTCTCACTTCATAGGATGGTCAAATATCCAAAATGACATCCTAACCAACATATATTTAGAGATATAATATGCCTATTAAAATGTTTTGATTCGATAATGTAGAATGTTCCAGATCCAACCAGCTCATCTCATTTCCATAAATGTAAAGGACGCTAATCCAGTATAACTCTTATCATTTCTGAGCATTTGTAAAAGCATGTAAATCCATTAACACGTAACCATGAAACAGAAACCATAAAACTCCATGCATCCATTGCCATTTTGATTTGTCTTTGATGGACCTCCATGAGTTAGACAATGAATAGAACAATACCATTTTATGCTTGGTATAGGGAGGTTATATCTTGCTTGTCCGATAACCTGCACCCAAGAGCAAACATGTGGAGCCAAAATCCACATGCCACACGACTTTTGAGGCTTTTCCATATCTTTGTTTTCTCCTCAGTACATTAAAAGCATACTTTCATAACTTTTACCAGCGATAATGGGTGGGCAGCATCCCAAACACATTTATTTATAAAACATCACATCCTGCAGATGGTCTCCTCTTAGTTCTGAAACTCAAAAATCCTTACAAGCACATATGAAACATAACAGATCCAATCCATGATACATCCATAAATAGTTTGTGGTGCATCAAAGCACAGTAAGATAATACTCAAAGTATGTCTCTCAAACCATGAAGGTTCCTTATGTCCAAATAACATCTCATCTGGAAATGTGAGCATTAAATTCCATATTTGAAATCCCTCCACATCCAAGAGCAACCTCTGCCCTCAACTCCATTTCTGTCACACAAGTCCGGAAACGAGAATGATCATGTGGCTCTGATTCCATCAAGCACCCCGTTTGGTCAAAAGAGGCATAAACTACTGTTTAAGATGGTGGTCATGTAAACCAAAAGCCATAAGTACAACATATTACTCTCCTTCAGCAGCCTAAAGTAAGGACTAATGCAACATGATAACACCATAAGTTTTACACAAAACATATAGTGAGAGTATTTGCAGACTGGTGTTGCGTACCTTAATAGTATGACCTGGAACCACTGCTTCCCATATAACTATGTCCACCTAAACCTCGCCCAGAATAAAGTGAAGAATAGGAGCTAGTGTCAACCTGCAATAAATATATACAAAATAAAAGGCAGTGGAAAAAGATATGCGAAGATAATCACAGAAAGAAACAGAACTCGAAGCATACATTACTCCCACGAGACATATAACCACCACCAGAGTTTGATGAGTACATCCCACCAAAGTCACTACCACCATAAGGGCCTGAAAACGGAGAAGAGATTGCAATGTCATTAACAAATTGACAGCTCTCTGTTAAGTTGGACTAAAACCTGAAGCATCATACCTCCATCGTAACCCATTTCTTGACGACCACTGTAAAACCCATGGGACTCTTGACTTGGCAAAGAGCCTCGACTTCCACCATACCCAATGTTTGACCTCTCAAACCTATCGTTCACAAATGACAACAAATCAAAATGCAGAAGTCTTTACTAAATACATAAAGCCACTTCAAAATATTACAAGTATATACGACCATGACTGACCTATCACTGTAAGGATCACCATAGTGAGAAACTCCGCTGCCAGAATCATAATCTACACGTGGACGAGAGTGACGCATCCCAGTTTCCAAATAGCGTGGGGGAGCATCATCCTTAAATGAATTTTAAAATGTTAACCCAAAATTGCATATTTGAGGCACAATAAAATATTATCCAAAGAAGTCGCAATATAGAAAGTTATTTTAGGAAATTACCAAGGCAGCATATGGGCGTTTAGAACCAGCCATAGAATCGTATTCACGATCACGTGCATCCCTGTAACTTGGTGCCCTTTCATACCTTTGACTGTAGCCATCATCAATATAAGGTCGTCTGGCTGCAGATCTTGATGCATCACCTCTAGGATAATCAGGGTAAGCAGATGGACGAGGAGGATAATCATCTCTATATTGCAGACGCCTAGCTGAAACTTCCCGAGAGCTGTAGTCTACAGCGGCTCTGCTTCTAGGATGAAGGTCCTCCCGGTGGCCATAGTCCCTCTTCAAACCGCTCTTGGAGTACGAAGGAACTGAATACAGTATATTAGGGCATAAATGCAGTTTAAGTAGAAAATAGTTACCAGTTTGAAAGTTCGAAGCATACCAGGTGGCAGCCTCCTATCATAGGACCTTGGTAAGGGAGCAGCAGGCCTGCTTCTGGAAGGAGGAGCTGGGACTGGTCTTCTATCCCTAATGTCAGCAGGTCGTCCGTGCCTACGATCTGCTACAGGAGGAATACGTGGTCCATTTCCTCTAGACCCGCGCAATGAAACACTACGGTGAATTGAACCACTCCAAGGGCTCCTAACACCTCTTACCGACCCACGCCCAGGCCGCGAGTCACCTCGAGCAACATGTTTCCCCTTGCCTCTCTGAAGGGGTCTTGACAATCTGGCCCTAACTTTAGCCTGAAACATAACTGCTATTAGTATGGCCGGAACATTAATATGAAAATACCAGAGATTACAATTTGACAAGGAACCTTGTTATCTCCTCCACCCAGCTCCTCATTGTTGATGCTTTTTGCACAAATAACAGCTGCATCATGGGTGCCAAATGTAACAAATCCAAAATCCTTTCTCCTGGCTGATGGCATATTACGGGCAAGCTCAATTTTCTCAATCTCCCCATACTTCTTGAGAAGATCCTTCACATGTTCCTCATCCCATGAGGCAGATATACCATCGATAAAAACAGTCTTAACCTGAAGTCGAGTTTATCAGGTTAATAAAACATAAAAGAAAACTTAAGCGTGTATCGTGCATCCATATGGTACATGAAGGTATACGTAAGTTATCAAAGGTATACGTAAGTTATCAATAGAACAATGACCATAAAATTTGAATACTTACAAAGAATAAACAAACATATGTTTCTATTATTTGGAATTTAATGTACACATAACACCCATGCCAACTAACAAACACTGTCAACAATATGCATGCTCCAAAGAACAATATCTAAAACGAGCAGAAACTGCAGCCAAATTGTACCTGAGCCATTATTTCATCACCAGGGTCAATGAAGGAGTCAGCAAAAGAAACTTTTGCAGGCCTATCTATTCCAAACATTACATCCCTTCTCTGTAGACGCTTGAAAGCGTCCATGGCATCAGACCGGGATGAGAACTCCAGAAAGGCAAAGCCTCTATTTGACCCCACGTTGTTACTGTCTTCAACCAATGTCAAATCCTCAAGACCCTCAACACCATAATGCTTTAGCTTTTCTTTCAACTACACAGAGTTCGCATAGCAGTGGGTACAAATTAACCATCAGTCTAAATTCAAATCTTATTGATGATATATGATAACCAATCTACTTACAGCTTCTTTTGTCCATGTCTTGCATATGTTACCCACAAATAGAGTATCACTGTCCTGGCTTTGGGAAACACCACACTGCTTGCCATTAATCTGAAATTTGGGTTCGTCAAGGATATGCACGTAACTTACAGGTAAAACAAACTAGTTGGAACAGGAACGAAATTATGTAAATACCACTGGATTCCTCAGCTGAGCACAAGCTCGTTTCGCTTGCTCCACAGTTGCAAAACGCAAGAAAGCAAAACCCTTGTTCTTCTTTGTCTGAGTATTCATCATAAGTCTAACTTCAGTAACTTCACCAACTTCACTGAAAACTTCCCTAAGATCACTCTCAGTAGCATCCTTGTCCAATCCCCCAACAAAAATTTCAAACTCCTTTCTTTTTCGTCTCTCCTTGACAACTTCATGATGTTCTTCACGCTCAGCAGCATCATACGTCTCAGCATGATACTCACCTGCATGCTCATCTTCTTCCTCCGGTTCAAGTTCTTCAGGGACAACTTCCACTTCCTCCTCAACCAAATCACCCTCGTCATCACCAACATCCACCTCCTCAGGATCTTCCTCTGCGTCACCTCTGTCTTCTTGAGGATCTTGCTCAATTTCCTTATCATCGTAATCTACACTTCCATATTCTTCGGGTTCGTACTCAGGGTCATTATCCTCCAAGTCCAAATGCTCATCTCTCTCATAATCATCAATGGATACATTAGCATAAATGTCCTCTGCCAAGTGAAAACAGGGTGGGTCACATACATCCATGGATCCACTAACGGAAATCATAAAAATGGAGAAGACCATATGCACTAGAGACAACACTGCGCAAATCATTGTTCTATCAAACAAGAAACACCTTATATACCGACATAGTAAATCAAATAGAGATAACATTCACATCTTCAGAGAGAGGGCAATGAATTCTCCCATCACAATCACGAGAGGATGCCTTTGACGAATAGAATCATAAGTCTAGTGATTGTTCAATTTCCTCTTTAACAACAGGTCTTACGAATACAACCACCCAGAGCAATAGCTTTAACTGAATTCATATACCACTGATCAGAGCTTCCAAAAATCAAAAAAGGTCTCTCATGATGCAATAATATTTGTTTAGAAACCACTCAAATTTATCCTCAACTCATAATTTTTCAGAACTGCTCTTGAATGCAATGAAAATAAACCGAGGGAGGATAAATAATAGAATAAATACCAGGTTTACTGATACTTGTGAGTAACGTGGACAACGGAAATCAGAGAGAGGGGTGGGGGTGGCAATCTGAAAAGTTTCCACCTTGTCGTTCCCACGTCCCAGGTATAATAAAGAAGATGGCCATCTATCAGGTTAATTCCTACGATCATAACAAAGTCCTCCAAGAATACAAACTAATATGGGTTGAACTCATATACCCACGCCCCATTAAGTTAAGCTTGATTTGACTTTCACACAATTTTAGTAATGGCATATAATGTTGTTGGGTTTCACACAATTTTAGTAATGGCATATAATGTTGTTGGAAAAGTAAATTCCCATTTAATTTGAGCATTAGTTGGGCTCTAAATATTGTTAAAGTAACTTTAGTAATAACAAACATATTAATAAAAAAAAGTACAGTAAAAAGGGATAAAATAAATACTGTTAGATGCTAAAGTAGCCTAAATTTTGGGACATATCAAGTAGGAAACCAAGCCAAGTTTATGGGCCGTATCCGATATAATAATTCTGTACACATCTAGTACAACTTCAATGGAACCTTCACAACTAAAGATGACAGGAGCTTCGAACTAAACTAATAATAACATCAGGATGAAGGAACCCTAAAATGCCCACATATGAGAAACTGACATAGGTCAAGATAATGACAATGACACAACATCCTTTTAACAATGCTACAATCTATTGAATTTAATTACCTAAATAACAAAATTTCATTTTTGGCAGCTCAGAACATTATCGAGCACTCATAGTGGAATCTAAGTTTAAATGAAACAACAGTTGCTAGATACACAAGAACCCCTATGAATTGCCAGAGCTGCTAAACAATCAAAATTCACATTAAACGTGCAATGAGCTATTAAACATAATTATAATCAAAAAATAAACCCACAAGATGAAGGAAACAAAAACTCCATCTTCAGAATCGACACAATACACTCTCATCATTCAAGGTAAATATTGAGACTTCAGTATAAACGGGCATGTATTGATGACACATGCACCAACCCACCAGATTCATCAGGGTATATTAACAGATCTACAATAATCTACAGGAATATACTAACTTAGACACGAGAAAAAAGATATATATAATATATTTCATAAAATTTAACCCAGAAAAAAATCATCTTCCACTTACTCTTGGCATAATCATCTTCAATTTCTTCCGTCGCGTTTTTTGTCTCAGCCTTATCCTCAGGCTCCGTCTCTTTGTCCTCGATAGCTACAGCCAGCTTCGTTCCTTTATCACCCATGCTTACCGCGGGGTCCCTCTCATTCTCCTCCACAGCTACCGGCAACGTTTTTTCCTCAACCGTCACTGCCTCCGTAACCTCAACCTCCTCCTGAACCTTCGCCGCCGCGGTGCGAGCCCGCGTACCTCGCTTGTTTCCCGGGCCCGCTGAAGTTCTCTTTGTTAACTTCGGCGCCATCGACTCACCAATTAAATATCACGAATTAAAAACAGAAAACACAAATAAATAAATTGAATCGAATGTTAAAACGCTTGCTCTCTGTAATTCAGATGTGTGCCCCAATTGAAGAATGCGGGAGATAGAGAAACCCTAACAAATCAAGAAAGGGGAAATCTGCGGTCGACTGTGCGGCTTTTATAAGGGAGTAGTGATCTGGTGTTGTGCATTTAAGGACGCTCATCTATCGATGGATATATTTGGAACACGTGGAGAAGAGGACTTCGTATTAGGGGCATCTAATGGGTGAAGACTTGTGAATCTACTACCCCTCTTATTCATAATAAACTAGTATGTAACTCGTGCAATGCACGGACTGTATTTATTTTGGAGAATATTAAAAATTAATATATATTAATAAATAAAAGAGTGATAATTCGTAGGAAAATTATCAAACCATAAAATGTTCCTCATGCAAAAAAATATAGTATTTAAACTTTCTTGTACACAACATTATTTGTTCAATAACTGTGCAACTCGTCGTCCCCACAAATTAATATTTTCAACATTTTTCTATTATTTACACGCGAAATAAACAACATAATTGTCCGTGACTAAAAATTAATTTCTTTAAGAACATGCCAACGTACAATAAATGTTGACTTTGACTCTTCTTGACCTATTACTTACACGTGTAACAACATACAATTGGTCGTGATCAAAAAAAAAGATTTTTTTAAGAACATGACAATGCACATCTCTTATCTATTACTTACACGTAAAAATAACAACATATAATCGATCGTTGCTAA